ACTAGTCCAATTTCAACCAAACTTGGTAGGATTGATCCTTGGGTGAAGGGCTTCCAAAGTTGTTCAAAGAATTTCATTCCATGCAGAAATGTGAACTTGTGAACAACCTTTCAAATGGCAAACAAACAGATCTCATACTTCTTGACTTCTCCAAAGCTTTCGATAAAGTAAACCATCTTAAACTCTTAGTTACCCTTCAAGAACATGGTGTTTGTCCTCAAATTCTAAACTGGATACAGTCCTTCCTTATTGGCCGAAGACAGACACTAGTTGTGGATAGTAACTGCTCATCTGAAGTTCCAGTTACCTCTGGAGTGCCCCAAGTCTCTGTCCTAGGGCCCCTTTGTTTCCTTCTATATAACAACAAGCTACCATCTTCTGTCCTTAAATCCAAAGTCAGATTATTTTCAGACGACACTGCTGTATACCAAACCATCAATTCCTCCTCAGACCCCCCCCCCCCTAACTCTCCAACATGATCTAGACAATATGGTTCTGTGGGAGAAGCAGTGGGACATGGAGTTTAACCCTTCAAAATGCCAAGTCATCCATATCACCAAAAATAAAACCATAATTAAACACAAATATATGCTCCATGGCCAAGTCCTAGAGTCTGTTACAAATGCTAAATATCTCGGACTAGATCTATCTGCTGACCTTAATTTTAATACACATAAATCTCGAATAACTTCCAATGCAAACAGATCCCTTGGCTTTATTAAAAGAAATGTCATTACTAAAAATGAGAAAGTGAAAGAACTAGCATACAAGTCCCTGGTCCGGCCACAGGTTGAATATGCCTCAACTATTTGGTCTCCTTACACTAAAACCAATATTGACAAAGTTGAGATGATCCAGAGACGTGCAATAAGATGGGTTAAAAGGAATTACTCCCCTCACTCCAGTGTCACAGCCATGCAGGGAGAACTGGGCTGGTGATCCTTTGAACATCGCTGATTGGACTGTAGACTGATAATGCCGGCTCGCCACGGAGAGCCGGTATTACGTTAGGATTTTACTGAGAAACAACCTAAAACTCCGAATACATCCACAAATTTAATCGAAGCTTGGCTTCCAGCTTTCTATAAAAAATTATCTATCAGGGCTAGGATCAAAAATTATTTAGCCAATCAAATTTAATCTTACATAGCGTCAAAAAACCTTCAATTTTCACGCCATATTTAAAAAGCAGCAAGTATTGTTTTGAGCGCAAAGATATTATGATGATTAAAAATGTTTGTTTTCATGAATTCTTTTCAATAAATCATATTAACACTGACTTTTGATTTAGCGATTTCACCTGTTCCTCTGTAGTAAGTTTTCGTTTGGTTAATTAACATAAGTGTACACCTGGTTCTGTGCATTTTTTCTTTTTCCTTTTTTCCGGTCATTTTATCCTTTCCGGTATTTAGTGTATATATTTACTGGCCGGGATCCGGGACGCCCGGACTGGCCGGGATCCGGGATCGTATAAGATATAGAGGAAAAACTTATAAACTATATTTGTGTTGATTATTGTCGTAATGAAAGGCCATTAAACGTTAAGTTTTTTTATTGTATGTAATGAACGTTAAATTAATTAAACTTTGGATATAAATATATTTCTAGAGCTATTTATCAACAAACTTAAAAATCACAATACTTATATTTATATGCCTAATTAATTGGAAAAATCAAAGACTACATTCTTGAATTGGTCAAATCCCGGGATCCCTTTATGTTTTAATGCGATCCCAGCTTTTCTGAAAACTATATTCTTGTACTGGCCAATTCCTTGGATCTCTTTATACTTTAATACGATCCCGGCTTTTCTGAAAACTATATTCTTGAACTGTTCAATTCCGGGATCCCTATATGTTTTAATAGGATCCTGGCTTATCTGAAAAGCATCTAAGACTGGTTAATTCCCGGGATCCCTCCCGGCTTTTCTGGCTGAATTTATTGACAACTTGTGTTTACTTTAGAACTTGTGTCTGTCACTCATTCCAATACTAAATATCATATTACAACTTAACTTTGTATAAAGAGACATCTTTATGAATTCTACCTATCTAACATTTATTTAGTCAAGGTCAAAAGGCCATAGAGTAATTGTGCATAGACATAGGGACTTCATTCTATCTGTTTACATGCATCCTCATATATACTCATATTCCTCTTTGTTAAACTGAGTGAAACTGGCTTCCATAACTTTATGTCACTTTTATTTTGATGTTCGCTGAAGTCTCTTCAGCTAACAGAACTGTCATTTTTACATTTAGACGCACCCCTGGAAAAAATTACGAAGCGAGTCGCTACTAGCTTTTTTAAAAGCTAACCTTGTGTTTTATAAGATATACCATAACCTAGTTGCAATTAATCTCCCAACATATATTTAAACCCCACGTAGATTAACGAGACATATGCACCCCTTATCCCTTCGCCAAATACAGGTATGCTCCAACTACCATAAGTACTCTTTCTTCCCTCATAGCATTATACTATGGAATGAACTTCCTAGTAACATTGCCACCCTGCCCAACTTGAGTCAGTTCAAACAGGCAGTGGTGGGTTTGCAGTACTAGTCTTACTCCCAGTGTTTTGACACTATTTTATCTCTTATCATCTTGTTTCACTATTATCATTTTAACAATGACTAGAATACATTTTCAGTCTCACCTTCCACGCATGTCAATGTTTGGACTTTTCTTTTTAAGCTTTTCTTTTCACCTTTTACTAACAATCCGACGTGCACTAAATTCCTGCCTTCAACACTCGTAAGAGGGGTTGGCAGTATAGATAGATAGATGGATAGATGGATGGATGGATGGATGGATGGATGGATGGATGGATAGATAGATAGATAGGTCGATCGATCGATCGATCGATCGATATCTGGTTGCCATGGCAAACAAAAAGAATTATAAAAATACAATTTAAAAAATCTTCTTGTAAAGACCCAAAGGGCATAGAGCTTAGATATTTTGCATAAGGCTTTGTCTGGTAGACCCTTACCAAGATTGTTCAAATTATAGCCCCGGGGTCAAAATCGGCCCCGCCCCGGGGGTCATTGATTTTCACTATATGTACATATAGTAAAAACTTAAAATACCTTTTTGTTAAGAAGAGCTTAGATATTTTTCATAAGGCATTGTCTGGTAGACCTCTACCCAGATTGTTCAAATTATAGCCCTCGGGTCAAAATCGGCCCCACCCCGGGGTCATTGATTTTAACTTTATGTACATAGTTAAACATTATAGTAATTTTTTTAAAAAAAAATTCCTCTAGTAATTGACAAATGCTAGAGGTTAGATATTTTGCATGAAACATTTTGTAGTGAACCTCTAGCAAGACTGTTGAAATTATAGCCCTTGGGTCTAAATCGGCCCCGCCCTGAGGGTCATTGGTTTTCCTTATATGTTTATAGTAAAACATTATAGTAAAAATTTTAAAAAGAATTTCCTCTAGAAATTGAAAAATGCAAGAGGTTAGATATTTTGCATGAAACATTGTGTAGTGAACTTCTAACAAGATTGTTCAAATTATAGCCATCGGGTCAAAATTACCCCCGCCCCGGGGAACATTGATTTTTGATATATACATATAGTAAAAAATCAAAAAAATCTTTTTGTCTGAAGGTACAAGACTAAGAGCTTTTAAATTTGTTAAATGATATCATCTATAGGTACTCTACCAAAGTTGTTCAAATTTTGCCTCTAATGTCAAAATTACCCCGCACCGGGGGCCATAGGTTTTACTTATATGTATATAATAAAAACTTAAAAATCATCTTTTCTAAATTTACAAAAGCTAGAGTTAAGATATTTTGCATGAAACATTGTGAAGTGAACCTCTAGCAAGATTGTACAAATAATAGCCCTGAGGTTAAAATTGGCCCCACCCCCAGTGGTCATTGATTTCCACTATGTACATATAGTAAAAAAATATCTTGTCTAAAGGTACAGGCTTAGATCTTTGATATTTGGTATATAATTTCATCTATGGGTCCTCTACTAAAGTTGTTTTAATCATGCCCCTAGTGTTAAAATTGCCTTGCCCAAGAGGCGATAGTTTTGCTTATATGTATAAAGTAAAAACATGAGCAATCTTCTTCTGTGAATTGACAAAGGCTAGAGGTTTAATATATGGCATGAGACTTTGTGAAGTGAACTTCTACTAAGATTGTTCAAATTATAGCCCTGGGGTCAAAATTAGTTCCGCCCTGGGGGTCATTGATTTTCATTATGTACATATAGTACAAAAAAAATTGTCTGAAGGTTCAAGGCATAGAGCTTTAATGTTTGCTATATATGATATCATCTATAGGTCCTCTATCAAAGTTGTTCAAATTTTTCCCCTGGTGTCAAAATTTGCCCTGCCCGGGGGCAGTGATTCCCATTATGTACACGTAGTAAAAACAGAAAATAAAACAATTTTTTTCGAAATGGGAGAAAGCTACTGCTTAGATATTTGACTTGAAATGTTGTTGGTGGACCTGTATCAAGATTTTTTTTTAATTAAACCCTTGGGTCAAAATTATGCCTTGCCTAATGGGACAGTGATCTACTTTCTTGTTTTTTGATGTATAGCTATGAAATTTGAACCATGTGCACAGATTAAGATGTAAAGTAAACTTTGATATCAGCTGACCTAGATTATGACAAAGTGTCTTACTGTGTTGTCCTTCGATGTAGTCATGAAATTTAGGCTGTGTGAAATATGACCTTCACCACCAAATTCACTAGACTCAAGTGCGTTGATATATTCCTACTGTGATCTTTTATTGGATTAACACAAATTTAACCACTTATCTGATAATAAGAATTAGGTAGGTCAGTGATATATGCATTATGACAATCTTCAATTGTATAGAAACAAAAACATATGTTCCTACACTACTATTTAGTGTTGTTTTAAGGCGGTTGCATAGCATTTTTCTCAAATGCAATCTTGTTTCCAAATGCTTTATTCAGGTTTTCATCTAGTTCATTGTTTTGGATATGTATTGTTTCTATTTCAGCTTGCAGCAGTGATAAAGACTGCCTTTTTGCAAAGGGCATGATTTGCGATCTACAAAACTTTCAATGTATATACCGTAGGTATCAGCTAATCATCATTTCAGTAAATTATTTAATTGAGTGTAATGTGAAAATTGAACTCACTTTTCATTGTTTTGGATGACAAGAAAAATGACCGTTTTTTTTTTGGATGGGGATAGTCACATTTAGCATTTAGGAAATGTTTTAGAATGCGTTCACTTTGAGTTTCAAATACATTTGTATGTAAGTAAATTCATTGAAATCGGGATCATACTTCTTAAATCATACTTGCGTTGTATTGAAAAACAATTATCATGTTTGATGGGAGTAGTATAATTCGGACACTTTCAGAAAATGTCAGTAATAAGCAGTTTAGCAGCTAAGCTGATAGCCTGCTGTCATCTGGTGACCTATTATATAACAATGGAATCATTCACGCGTAAAGGCGTGCGAACAATGGGCAATACCGCATCCCCGGTATAAGTTTTCGTGAGGTGTTACCCGGAATGTAGGTCAGACCCATCCTATTAAAGTAACAACGGAAGCGTCCATTATAATACTTAAAATTACCATGACGTCAGATTCCTACCCTTAAGGAACTCAACAATAGGATCATTACAACGCAGCAGACTTTGTATAACATAAAAACAGAGTTTTTAATTCATTCTTAAACATTTCCTGTATCATATGACGTCCGACACACCTTATGTAACGAAAGATTCCGTTATTGACCTTACCTACATTCCGTTCTGTTAAGCCCCAGTCACATTCGAGCTTACGACCAGTGAAGACCAGTTCACGATCACCATTGACCTTTGGTCGGGGACAATCTTTAAAACGTCTTACGACGGTCATCGGTGATCTTTGACAGTCGCAGGTTATCTTATTTAGGTCCCACGACCAATTTCAGTCGTAGAGAGGTTTTTGAGCTTGCACAACCACCTCCCTGCGATTAAACAGGTGGCTATTGATCTTATAGGGTCTTAGGCTGTCGCACGATGGTCGTTCGGAAGTGCGACAATCTTACGACAGTCTTTACAAATTACCACTAGTCACTGATAATCTTGAGTTATCGTGCGATGGTCGTTCGTAAGAAAAGTTGTAAACCCCAGTCACACTAGAGCTTACGATTACTTGCGACCACCGGCGACTTGTAAAACTGACGATCATCAGCGATTGTCTGCGACCAAAACCATTTTTGCATAAATAAATTTACTTTTTCGAGTATCGTAAGACAAGTCATCATTGACAATCGCACGACAGGTCATAAGTAAACGTACGATGGTCTCAAGATTGCCTGGGATTACTTACGACTACCCGTGACATAACATGCGATCACCTACAACTTGTCGTACGACCATCACACGATTACTAAAGACTACTTAAGATTATCAGTGACTAGTGGCAATTTGTAAAGACTGTCGTAAGATTGTCGCACTTCCGAACGACCATCGTGCGACAGCCTAAAGACCTTATAAGATCACTAGCGACCTGTTTGATCGCAAGGAGGTTTTTGTGCAAGCTCAAAAACCTCTCTACGACTGAAATTGGTCGTGGGACCTAAATAAGATAACCTGCGACTGTCAAAGATCACCGATGACCGTCGTAAGACGTTTTAAAGATTGTCCGCGACCAGAGGTCACTGGTGATCGTGAACTGGTCTTCACTGGTCGTAAGCTCTAATGTGACTGGGGCTTTAGTTGATCGCATGACAGGTCACGGGTAGTCGTAAGTAGTCCCACACAATCTTGAGACCATCGTACGTTTGCTTATGACCTGTCGTGCGATTGTCAATGATGACTTGTCTTACGATAGTTGTAGAGGTAAATTAATCTGCAAAAATGGTTTTGGTCGCAGACAATCGCTGATGATCGTCAGTTTTACAAGTCGCATGTGGATCTTGAAAACGCCACGCCATTAAAAAGATAGAAGATCATGAAAAAGACAGAAGCGACGAGAGCGACGGCGACGACGATGATAATGATGGGATAGATTAAAAGTATTTTCCCATAAAGTACTGTATAACTTTCGCTCGATACTTTATTTAGAGCATTTTGCATTATGACATCAATGAGAACAGACGAAATTATGGGCAAATGTCGGAAGAACGAAATAAAATCAGCTTCAAAAAGTATTCCAATACATTCCGGTAGTCTCGTGAAAAGACTAAAACGTATGGGATACCAAAGAATGGACAATTTTATATACGCCGGGTTCAACCGGCGGAAAAAATGACAACCATATCTAAAAGAATGCTTGAACGTCAGGCAAAAACGAAAAGACTTTTCGATCCCAACACCAAAAATTGTTACCGTTATAGGAAGGAATTGAAAAAAATAAAACAAACGATGATGTGACAATCTGAATCGAGTTGAAACCGTAATACATGTACTATTATGACATTATCGATTATAAAAAGCCATATTATTATTTTCACGCAATATGTGTACAAAATCAAACGAATAAAATGAGTAAAATATGTCTTCAATGAAACTTTATTCAAATTTTAAGCGTTGATATCGATAAAAGACTACTTTCATAAAAGTATTGGAATATTTATTTTACGTCCTGCGCACACGCCGTATTGTCAAAGTTAAAGGTGAAATATTATATACACACGGGTATAAAGTTACAGTGACCGTGGTTATTAAAAATAATATTATCGAAAACATGATAAACAATTTAGGTGCGGTAACATATAAAATATATATAGATGAATATAAATAGAAATAGTGCGTGGCGACATAATTTTCATGTGTTATATCTTAAATTATCCCGCGTGTAAAATATGATGAATCTCTATTGTTTTGTAGTTAAAAGAACGAAATGTAGGTAAGGTCAATAATTGAATTTTCCGTTATTTAAGGTGTGTCGGATGTCATATGATACAGGAAATATTTAGGAACTAATTTAGGAATGAAAAGAATGAAAATAATCGTTAAATCCTCTGTTGTTCTGTAATACAAAAGCGGCTACATTGTAATGACCCAATTGTTTAGTTCCTTAAAGGTAGGCTAGGGCTCTGATGTTATGGAATTTTTAAGTAATATAAAAGACCCTCCCGTTATTACGTTGAAAGGATGGGTTTGACCTACATTCCGGGTATGACCAGGTGTTTTTTTTTACTGTTTTTGTTTCCGTTCTGTTGCATATTAGTTTCTCATTATTTAAGAAAACAATACAAAACTATAATTTTTTCTCAAAAAATGAACCGTCAACTTATTTGTAAGTATGAAATAAGTAAAAATACCCATGCACCTTATGACTTGTTGTTGTTGTTTTTAGCATATAAAGATTTAACTCGACTATATCTTGAAAACGTCTGTGATTTACAACGCATCAAGTTATACGAGCGGCTTAACCTTAACCTCATATAGACGTGTTTTGACGACGGCTTTTTGTCCCCCCCCTTTTGAGGCCTCAAACAGTGACAATTTGCCCTATTTAGGCCCCAATCACTGTTTTTGTTTAGAAATGTTGTTTAAAAAGTGACCACTTTTTCGGCGCCGTCCCCCCATCCATATGTTTCATCAGGGTGTTACCAGAAGGGGAATGTGTCCCCTTTCTGTTTGGGGGGGGTTGAAGGGTTTGAAGGGGGGCGGTAGTCCCCCTCATTGCCAAGAAAATTTTGGACATGTGACAGACTAAAAATGGCCTAAGGTTGTTCTTAGAGTAACAAGTAACCGACGCTGAAAAGCCTTTTAATACATTTTGTATCTCAATTCATTGAGAAGTTGCAGCACTTTGAAATCAGTTATGATGGGGAAAAATGCAAAATAGTGATTTTTGGCAATTTTGAGACGTCCCCCGTTGCCATGGTAACAGGAAATTTACAATTGAGCATGCTGTTACAGAGGTTATGGTCTAGTCAACATTTGTACCAAGTATCATCAGTATTGAAGCATTTTTCATAGTTTCATAGCAGTTTGAACTTGTTGCAGGAGGCTTTTCAATGAAAACGGGGTAAAAGGTTAAACATTTTTGAATCAATTCCGAAATCCGTTTTGAAAGGTTCTTATGGTATAATCTTTATACACTGGTAGAGAATGCTTCCGAAGGCACTACGGAATCGAACCGGTGACCGCAAAGACAACTTTAAATGTATGAATAAAACCAAAAAGCCACAAACAAGGGAGGTCAAGTCTATTAGTGGAATATAGCAAAACCTCATGTCTCTGTTCCTCTAGATAAACTTGAATCAAAGTTAACTAGTGCGCATGTTGATTATCATGGAGTTATCTGATCATGTGCACCCTTGAACTTGGGTTCTTTGTTATCTAGTGCTTAACTTCAGAAGTGAAAACATGGTCACGATCAGATGTTCCAGTGACACTACCCCTCTTTGGCATAGTGACGCGGGCTACTATTCCATTCCTATCACAAAATAGTGTATTTAACTCTTTAACGCTGCCCCTACGTCGAATCTCTGATTTCACCTACCCATTTTTTGCAACTGAGTTTATTAGTTTATTCGTTCTCCAAAAAATAAAGCCACATTTATTCTACCTCAACAATTTCTCGCAAGCGTCTAAGGTCTATATCTTTTGGCCTAGTATGTAGTAAATAAGGCCAAGACTTTAATCCCAAAAATTTGCAATAGGCTCTTTGCTCTCTCACAAATCACAATACGACCCAGCCATCTTTACAAACCAATGTTTTTAAATGACCTGCGGAAATTTTATTGCACGTGCAAATGTTGCAAAATTGTTGGTTATAACAGTCCATAACATTTCAAAAAGTTTATTACACAATAATTTTTAGGTGCAAATTATGTCGAAATTGAGTTTTGCCACTATTCAAAATATGTCCTTCGCACATTTAACGGAAAAAAATTCATACTAATTTTAATTGCTCTGTAACGGAAGGTCTCTAGAACAAAAGATTATAATGTCGATACTATTCAATATAAGATATATCAAAAAACTTCGAAATAATTGTGTCGTGGTGATGTTGGCAAATGTGAGATACAAGATCCGATATTCAACAGATTATTGGATAAGATAACAAAATTATGCATATGTATTTTTGTAATAATATTTGAAATACTAATGGAAAATGTGCTCATTGTAGACCTACTTTAAATGTGTTAGCTCTTGCTTAAACCGCTTCCTCTGTGTAATGAAAAAGAGCAGTGAACGTAAGCTATGTCGAGGTTAACTGCTTACTTACTCGTTGGAACGAGTAATCGACATGTCTTGGGAATGAGACATTACGTCCTTCCACGACAAAGCTTATAGCATTTAAAATAATTCTTTGAAGGTTACAATTTTCTAAATGTATAAAATGTGTATTTGAAATTGCAAAGTTGCCATTGATTTGAAATTGAAAAATAACAACATTGTCATAGGACAAATTAATTCTAGCCTGTTTATATTAAACCCATAGTCTTTAGATGTTCCCGGCATTAAGCGGTCACAGCAAATCAGAGATATTGTCCGATTTTGATGTCATATTGTTTAGTCCCCGAACGTGTCCGAGTTTTAGTACTTTTAGAAATGGTATATTACAGTTATACATGTATATTTTATTTATTATTTGGATATGTATTGTTTCCATTTCAGCTTGTAGCACTGATGCAAACTGTACCCAGGAAATCAACATGACTTGCAATCTACAAAACTTTCATTGTATATACTGTAGGTACCTCAGCTAATCATCCTTGCAGTAAATTATCAAAAGTTGGTAAAGTGATAAAATTGCACTCACTTCAATGATTCGGTGACAAACTTTAATAATATTTTGTCTGTTGGTTGTTACTTTTTTTTTAATTCCTCGTTTTGTTGCATACAATTTTTTAAATATCAAAGGAAAAACACTAACGAATAGCTTTTTGTTAAAATAAATCAATCTTCTTATAATTTTTTTTGTTAGAAATTAGGAAACATACCCATGCATCTAATGAGTTGTTGTTGTTTTTTAGATTATCAAAAGTTGACTTGAATATATCTTCAAAACTTCTGTGATAGTAAACGTTTGTTTGTTTGTTTTGGGTTTTACGTCACATCGACACAGTATAGGTCATATCGAGACGTTCAGCTTTTACTGGTAGAGGAAGACCTCAGGTGCCCTTCCGTGCATATTTCAGGCACAAACTGGCACCTGAGTAAAACCACCGACGTTCCGTAAGTTATCCTTGGCCATATTTACTAGCTTAAAATATTTAAATCGAGATCTCAGACGCCAGAGAGAAATCGTTAATGGCGTTAAACGTAGCATTCTTGAGTTAGATGATAAACTCAGTAGCAAAATTTAGGAAGGTGAAAACGGCGTTCTTGACAGGAGCGTTAAAGTAATATGTTTTGTCTTTTTAGACAGTAGTGGAATAGTGGCTCGCGTCGCTGTGCCTAAAATTCAGTGGAACATTCTCCCATTAAGATGTTCTTTCTTTTGATGTTAATTACTTGATTACAAAGAATCATTGTTCAAATTTGTCACTTGTTGTGGTTAAGGTCGTTGACTTCAAATCACTTGCCACTCACCGCTGTGGGTTCGTATCCCGACAGGGACTTTGAATTATTTCATGTGAGGAAGCTATCCAGCTAACTTACGGAACGTCGGTGGTTCTACTCAGGTGCCAGGTCGTGCCTGAAATATGCCAGAAGGGCACCTTAGGTCTTACTCATACAGTAAAGCTGGAAGTCGCCAAATGACCTATACTGTGTCTGTCTGAAGTAAAACCCAATCAATCAAATCAATCAACTTTAACATTATGAAAAGGTAGTAGTTCTTTATCTTTTGACAATATGCGGGGAATAACTGTAAGGGAACCAATTGTACGGGAACCAAATGTAAGAGGAACAAACTCTTTTAACTCATTTGTAAACAGTATGACTTGCATCACACTGACATATTTTAATATCTCATTCAAGACTCTGATACGAACCGTTTCAAGAGTATTGAAAGCTTACGTTGTCTTATTTTTGATTTCCGAAGTTACGACTTTTGCAAGCAATGTAAGAGCATTAGATTTCTAACATACTTGTTTTGCATACTGATTCCTGATTGTTTTTTATATAATTTGACATGTACTGCTGGTTTGTATTGTACACTGGGTGATTAAATTTGACTTAAGATGAAATGCAATCGAATTACGTCCTATTTCATTTTCATTTGGCGATCACTGCTGGAATAAGTAATTAATTATATGCACAGCCATACATAAGAACTTATATATATTTCTGTTATATGTAAGAAATGTAAACTCTATTGTGTGATTTTTAAACTAAACGAACATCCTGGATAATTTTTATTAAACCCAAACTTATCAAACATAATGTTCTATCTATTATTTGCTATAAAGCAAATTGGCAAACTACCTCGTATCATTTCAATATGTGTTACTGCAATGGATTATGAATATTTCTATTATTACTAACTCAGAAGTATAACGAATTTGTATCGTGCAACTTACGACTTAAATATGATGATTTTCTTTCGCAGTAATATCCGTCTTATTTATAAAGATATACATGGGATTATCCAGGATGTCCGTTAAGAATGGTGGCATAGAGTTCATGCATATTCTTGAACTTTTTCTTTTTATCTCGTTCCTGCATGAACGAGATCTAAAAGGAGTGCTAACAACCTTTGAAAGAATTAATCTGGATGATCGCACTTTAGTACCATTTGTATAAGTCACAACTTTCTCAGTCATGTGTAAAAAGTGAATTTAAATTGGCTAAGTTTGTCATGGATTTGAAATTAAAAAATATGTCATAGGGCAAATTAATTCCAGCCTAAGCGGCATTCTTGTTTCATTCGTGTTTTTTTACAAATGGTATATTATAAATATTTTTATTAAATTAAATTTATTAAATATGTCTTGTTTCTATTTCAGCTTGTGGCAGTGATGCAGACTGTCCGAACGTTAACAACTTCACTTGCAGCAATGTCAATGAATGCGAGTGTCCACCTAATTATTTCCTATATGACAATTATTGCTTTTACGGTAAGTATCTCTGCTTATTATTCATTCGGGCAATTATTCAATTGAGAAGAGTTCACTGTGTCTTGTAATTATAAAGATTTGTCACTGCTTGTTGCGATGGGGTTTGTCAAAGTAAGGAGAATGTAGAATTATATGGATTTACAATGTGTTCATGTTAACGATTTCTAATGTGTAGAAAGACTCATTGACATCGATATTTTACTGCTTTAATTGTACATTCTTAGTATTGAAAATCTATTTAAGGCTGATAGGCTGTCTTTTTAAACTAAAATTGCAGTATGAAGTTTTAACCACATTACCTGTTCAAAATATACTTGGCCAGAGTAAACCTGCTTTTACCTTCTTAATTAAATGTCTTCTAGTTTCTTTTGCACATGGATTTCTTAAATCGTGAACGTTATTGGTGATCTCGTTATTATAGACAAGACTTTAAAAATCTAAAAAAAATACAATTTATAGGACGGCAAAATTTGTTATATGAGTTTATTATTAGGTGGTAAGTAAAATTCTAAAATATAGAATGTTTAATGGCTGAAAGGTCCATAGAACGCAAATATTATTGAAATTTGATTGAAAAAAATAGTTTCCCAAACTCCTTTAGATTATCTAGGAATTTAGACGTTATAATATTTTAACAATTTTAGAATGATCAATGATATTCCCTGATTTCATATTCTAGCTTTAAAATGACCAATGTAAATTATACTTATATTTTCTAATTTCATGCACATTTTAATGAAAGTCAAAAAATTCTCAGACATACTTCACAAAAATAAGAAGAAGAAAGAACAAAAAAAAAAAAATAAAATAAATGCTGAGAGAAAACGTGCTAAAGTGAAATTACTTAGGGGTAAAAAAGAGAGACCTTTAACCGGCATTTCAATGAAATGGAAATATCCGATAGTTGGATATTCAAGATTGTTATAGATCAAGACTGGGTTTCTTTTCATTTAGTGGTATGAAAGTGCACCGAGAGTTGCGGTTGCCGCGAGTGAAATATGATAATTTTCATCCTACGTGATGAAAATAATCCGTGCATTTATTATAGAAAACAATTATGTTTATTATATGCATTTTTGATATTTGACATTTACAATTTTGATGACCTCACCCCTAAAAATGTGTGTATTATCTGAATTTAGAAAAATGTAGTCCGGTGAAACACCAATGAAAATACGGAATACAATTGTCACTGTAGTGAAAGATGTTTTCTTATAGTAACAATACAGAAAACAAGAGCCACCGCCGGGCGAGGGCAACGGTCAACTTTTTTTTTTTCTAAAACCAAACAAAGAAATGTTTGTACAAATCTAAACGTTGCCTTTTTATAAATTTAATAGGTCTGTCTTGTCACATTAGTTTCTGTCAAATTATGAATGTTTTCCATATATAATATCCGCATGTGTATTACAGAAGAAGAAAAAAAAATATATAATGTGATATATAAAGATTTATATACACCAATAAATATATTTGGTCATTACATCAATGAAAATTCAATAATTTAACTTTCAATGTCAAGGTCATAAAGAGCCTAGGTCAAATTGAGTTTGATAAACATGAAGAATTTGTCCTTAAGAATGTTCTTTTATAATATGAAGTCAATCCATTCAATAATAGCAAAGTAACAGCCAGTTACAGCCAAAAAAATGAAATTTTCAATAATTTGACCTTAAAATGCAAGGTCATTTAAGAGTGAAGGTTAAGGTCTGTCTAGTTATCTTAAAGGGCTATCCTTATAAATAATAAAGTTCAAGTTTGAGGACAATCCATTCAAAAATAACAAAGTAACAGCCAATAATAGACAACAATAATGAAATTTTCAAACCTTCAAAGTCAATGTCATTTATGAGTAAAGGTCAAGTTCTGTCTAGTTATTTTAAAGGGCTATCCAAGAATATTAGTATGTTTAAGTTTTATGACAATCCATTAAAAATATAATAAAGTTACAGCCAATGATAGCAAAAAAAATGAAAATTTCAATAATTTGACCTTCAAAGTCAAGGTCATTAATGAGTGAAGCTCACTAAGTTATAATCCAGGTACAAGTTTACGGACGGCAACGATAACGCCGCCAGGACTATAACAATACCTCCACTTTTTTTAAAAAGTCGAGCTTATAAAATTAATTTCATCCACATTTCTTAATATTTCGTTTATAAGTATATGATAAGTATTTACCCCACAAAAATTCAGCATTTATATTGTTTACAATGTTATAAAAATACAGCAATGATTTCTTTGTAGAATGTTAATCTCTCATTCTGTTTCAGATTGTGGAGTTCCGCCAGTTTTTGAAGTAAATGGAATAAACTTCGACTATTATATTATCTTCAGTGTTGAACGTTATTCTTTATTTTATGATTGTCCCTCCGACGATATGCCCGTGAGTAAAATCATGATATGTCAAGAAGGAGGCTGGACCGAAATGACGTCAATTTTATCCTGCTTACGTGGTAAATGTTATGTTTAATTGTTAGATTGGATTTTTAAAATAATCATGTTATGAGTCATAACTACATTTTATGTCTTCTTTGACAGTTGAATTCAAAGATTGAAAATGGATCTTACTTATTCTTTCTTATTTTTTTGTCAGTAGATGTGGCCTATAATTACTGCCAGTGATCATGAATATTTAATTTTCTTACATTTGACTTTGAAAACATCTGCAGGGTGTTCCAAAATTGAAAATTGTACAAGTTTATGTTAAATGTTAAATTCTGCTGAAGCCGGTGCTAGGGGACGTGGACGTTGGTTGCACTTCACTGTACCGTTCATGAGCAGCCTCAATCAAACCGAGCCTGCACAATTTTCAATTTTGTCATGTTTGGCTTTCTTTAAGAATTCTTATTTTCTCTATTTTATCGCCGTGTTTGTGTTTGTGCCGTGTGGAGGCTGTAAAAAGTCGCCCTGTACATTCAATCCAAGATGTTATATTTCCGATCCTTAAAGATCGTTCAGCACGACATTATTGTTGTGCTTGTTATAATACAATTCTTTCTTTTCGGCTATTTTCTTGTTGGGTGGTTCCAGTATTTCTCACTTAAATACTGTTATATCACCCATAGGATATGTGGCCTGCTTTTTAAATTTGTCTTTTGACGTCTGATCTGTGATATGCAGGCCTCATAACCTCTGATCCCCTTTAAAAAATCCATTTTATTTAGTTCCACCCATTGTTTCCCCGTATAGGTGCTGCTTTTCATGGAATGGCACTTACGTGTCACATTGAAGGTTCCATGATAACCGCCATATGAACACATCTACGGATGTTCCAAAATTCAAAATTGTACCAGTTAAAATGTAAAATATTGAATTCTGCTTAAGCCGGTGCTAGGGTTCGTGGGCGTTGGTTTGCACTTGACGGTACCGCCATGAACAAGCTCAATCACACCGAACCTGCAATATTTTCAATTTGCGGTGTTGGGTTTTCTTTAGGGATTCTTATTTTCTCTATTTCAAAACTGACAATAGATAGTTAGTTAAAATAAATTTTAAAATATCTAGAGTTCTACAAACAATTTTTAGGTTTTACGCTAGAATATAAAATAGTTTGTTTTTGATTAATTTCACAACAATTAAAGACAGGAATACTTACAAAGCTAAAAATAACGACGATTACATGCTCCAAAAATCAATGATGCTGATACTGAAAAGTCGCGTGTTCTTTCTTTTATTCTTATGCCTAGTATTGAAGTATGCTGTGTAAAGCTTTTGCTTTTAACTATTAGTATGAACGAAAAAGTACTTAATCAATGTGAAATATTAAATAAAACACTTTTTATCTATTTTGATGAAATGGATATATGCATTTACATGCATGAATGTATGTTAATGACATACTTGAATTTCAAGTGTCAAAAGATGACCAGTTTTTGATTAGGAAACTTTATGTAAATACATATATTTTCTTATTGATAGAATATAACAATGATAATATTGATATTGGCCAACGACCTATTACAACAATATATACATTAAGATAAACTTTCTTGAATGGTGCCAGCACAGATCGATAATAATCGTTATAAATGATAATTAAACATATTCTTTGAACAAGTTACATTTATTTCAACTTGATATGTTTAACCGAGGGCAAATCCTTGAATTGATATCACAATGAATATAAAACATCTTTGATAATATAGTTTGGAATGGAAATATAATTATCTAGCTTGTGGCTTTACTAAGCAAATAAATCCCGACAGGAACTTTGGATTCTTTCATGTGAGGAAGCTTTCCAGCTAGCTTACGGAACGTCCGTGGTTCTACTCAGGTACCCGTTCGTGCCTGAAATAATGCACGGAAGGGCACCTGAGGTCTTCCTCCACCAGTAAAGCTGGAACGTCGCGATATGACCTATACTGTGTCGATGTGACGTAAAACCCCCCAAAAAACAAACAAAACTAAGCAAATAAAACGTTTTTAACAATAAAATTATTTTAACTAGAATGCTTGCAGGCAATTACTCACGAGACAAACGTAAATTAACAACATACTTTTGTCATTAATCGATAAATACAAAACTGTATACCTCCGTACGATTCACAGTGAAACATATCATAATCATAAACTGGAATATAACATGTACAATGGTTCATAATAATGTTTCTATTAAAACACACACAATATTGTTTAATAGTTTACAAAGGTGCGTGTCGATCTTAACGAAAAACAAAACATAAGATCTTCACTTATGGCTATTTATTGCAAAATAAGAAATAAATTCTATAGCCATAACTTCAAGGCCAATAGTGTTTTGATAAGACTATTTCGTACAACATTGCCCGAAATGAACAGTAAATACATCACTGTAGAAACTAAGTCAACACTGAAGTTTCAAAATTGAAAACAACAAACTATTCGATTCCTTAAAAGTAACATTAATGATGTTATAAGCATATTCGCAAATATTTTATAGAAACGATTTCAAATTTAGGTATTGTGTTACAACATACAAAATGATTAAATAGATATAATATCAACAATATAGTAAGTTTATCAACAATAGTTATCAAAAATAATTTTTAACAGTCAGTATCTGTATTACCCATATATCTCATTTCTCTCTTTTGATGTATAATATGCACACATACCTAAGTTTGTTACAACATTTTCAGAGCCAGAGCACTTTAGACCATTTAATTTGTGGTTATTAGGATTAATAAAAACAATTTCGTCAATGTACCTTTCTCTTATCAAAGACAATGTTATACAAACTAAAACAAAAAGATCTTCATTCCAAATTGCTTTGATAATTTACATATATACTGTGTTCTTTTAAAATATCTGGTATCTACCTTTTTCAATTTCTAAATTATGGGAGGACAAGAGAAGTTTAGCAAGAGCAATTGTGAATTTTCTAATTTTCACTTCTGTTGAGTAATTTTCTAACACGACCAGCATTTTTTTCAATTAAACATAGAAGAACCGAAAGTGTGTGTTATTATGCATTAAAATCATAGTTTGACGATCTATATTTAGACATGTGACGTAATCATTATACAAGTGACGTAACCACTAAAATGTGACTTTCTGAAAATAAGTACGAACACATAAAAAAATACTTTGGGGTAACTTTCCGTAGTCATACAAGGCTAGCTTTTAAAAAAGCTAGTAGCGACTCGCTTCGTAATTTTTTTTCCAGGGGTGTGTTTAAATGTAAAAATGACAGTTCTGTTAGCTGAAATGACTTCAACATCAAAATAAAGTGACATATAAAGTAACGGAAGCCAGTTCTATCAGTTTAACAAAGAGGAATATGAGTATATATGAAGATGCATGAAAACCGATAGAATGAAGTCCCTATGTCTATGCACATTTACTATATGGCCAGTTCAAATGAACCAAAAAAATGTTACATAGGTAGAATTCATAAAGATGTCTCTTTATACGAAGTTAAGTTGTAATATGTTATTTAGTATTGGTATGAGTGACAGACAAAAGTCCTATACAGGAATATATCACTGAAGAACTCGCTTGGGTGTGGGCGAATTTAGATTCATGGGGCATGATTAATATTTGATTTGTACAAGTTCTAAAGGCATTGGTACATATTCAATATTAAATGGAGGCATTGAAGTTTATATCAATTAGACTTAAATATATTTTCCCTAAGCATTTTATTAAAAATTATGTCCACTTCATCTTGGTATGTGAAGCATTTTAAACAAATGGATATGATGTAGGTACATGAACAAAATTTTAAAGTGGTCAACAAGGCAATACCACATGCCAAATATTTAAGGTTAAGGCATTAATAAGGTATAAAGGCGTGCGCATGTGTTTCTATATAAGACGTGTCCTTGACCTATGTGTAGAACAATATGAACAACTATGAAAGGGGACTCGTGTAGTGTGGTTAATGTGCAGTCTTATGTTTCATAGATATCATTTAAAGAAAAATTAAATTACACATTAGTGACAACAGATGAATAGGGATCTCAATGCCTGTTTATGCTCATCAGAACACAACTTGCTCATAGTGAGCATAAAAGGGAATTATATTGTAACAGGACTTGGTATAATGATCATCTCCTGTACAAAGATTCAACGACAATAATCCACACAAATATAGTTTATTCCTTTTCCATATATATCTAATACTATCCCGGATCCCGGGCGTCCCGGATCCCGGGATCCTCCCCCCGCGAACCTTAATACCGGAAAGGATAAAATGACCGGAAAAAAATGCACAGAACCAGATGTACACTTATGTTAATTAACCAAACGAAAACTTACTACAGAGAAAACAGGTGAAATCGCTAAATCAAAAGTCAGTGTAAATATGATTTATTGAAAAGAATTCATGCAAACAAACATTTTAATCATCATTTTATCTTTGCGCTCAAAGCAATACTTGCTGCTTTTTAAAAATGGCGTGAAAATTGAAGGTTTTTTTGACGCTATGTAAGATTAAATTTAATTGGCTAAATAATTTTGGATTCCAGCCCTGACAGATAAATTTTGTAGAAAGCTGGAAGCCAAGCTTCGATTAAATTTTTGGATGGATTCGGAGTTTAAGGGGTTGTTTCTTAGTAAAATCCTACCGTAATACCGGCTCGCCGTGGCGAGCCGGCAAAATTGCGAAAATATACAAATAAGCACTCTTTTTGCTTTAGATGCTTGTTCACTTGCCATTTTGTTTATGGACAACTGTTGTGTTAAAGTTACACCTACATAACTAAAATTGCTTATTACTGCAAGAATTTGATTATTTTAAACCTATTTCTTGCTTTTCGCTAAATTTCCACCATTCTTAACCACCATTTCTTTAAATTTTTAAGGATTGACTTTAACATTTTTTTTCATCACATACTTTTTTTACCAAATTTGATAACTTTTGAAGACCAACCACAATATCTGCAACTAATTCCAAATCTTCCACAAATAAAGATCTTAACTCGGTTGTATCTGGAAATACCTGAATACAGTACGCTTAGCGCGGCTTTTCCAA